CGACTACGACTGCGACTACTACTACATTACCACTACTACTACTACAACTACAACTACAACAACAACAACAACTACTACTACTACTACTACTACTACTACTACTACCGTATCTGATTTAGATCTTAAATATTAATATCTCGAGTTGATAAACATAGATAACCAGGGTGGTAAATAGGCCATCCAAAGAAAAAGGAGCAGATAGATAGATAAATAGATAGATAGATAGATAGAGATAAAGCAGCCAACGCCATGCAGCAGCAGTCCGGAGATGGTGAGCAGGAAGGTGTTTCAGAGTGGTTTCAGACCTCTTTTGGGCTTGTTTTTTGGGTACCCCCAGCTTTGGGAGATGAAAAAGAAAGAGAAAAGGTAGAGAAAGAGAGAGAGAGAGACAGAGAGAGGAAGAGGGAAAGAGAGAGAGAGAGATAGAGAGAGATAGAGAGAGAGAGGAAGATGGAAGATGGAGACAAACAGAAGGCGAGAGAGAGAGAGACAGAGAGAGGAAGAGGGAGAGGAAAGAGAGAGAGCGTTGTAAATGGTGAGCAGCGGGGTGTTTCAGAGTGGTTTCAGACCTCTTTTTGTCCGTAGGCTACCTCAGCTTTGGAGAAAAAACAGGAAAGAACGGAAAAGAAAGAAGAGAAGGGAGAAAGAGACAGAGAGAAAGAAGAAGTCTTGAGACGGTGAGCAGGAAGATGTGTCGAACTGGTTTCAGACCTCTTTTGGGGCCGGTTATGGGGCTACCTAGTTCTTAAGACATCCAAAAGAAGGGACTCAAAACAGATTGTACTTGAAACACATGCGGTCCGGAAAGACACGCAGCGGTCGGGAAAAGAGGATAACACGAGACAGAGATGGAGACAAACAGAAGGCGAGAGAGAGAGACAGAGAGACAGAGAGACAGAGAGAGGAAGAGGGAGAGGAGAGAGAGAGCGTTGTAAATGGTGAGCAGCGGGTGTTTCAGAGTGGTTTCAGACCTCTTTTTGTCCTTAGGCTACCTCAGCTTGGGAGAAAAAACAGGAAAGAACGGGAAAAGAAAGAAGAGAAGGGAGAAAGAGAGGAGAGACAAAGCAAGCACCCAAAACGTACTCTAATTGTAGCCATTTTGGTCCGGAAAGACCTGCAGCGGTCCTAATGTCTACAATTAGAATACTTTTTGG